TAGACTCTAGCGTTAGTCTCCAAACTTCCAACCTAGCATTAACATCGTCACGCGTCTCATCAATTAGGACTATGTCATCAGCGAATAACATACACCATGGCACCTCCCCTTGTATATGTCCGTCAGCACCTCTAACGCTAAGGCAAACAAAAACGGGCTAAGAGTCGATCCCTGATGCAACCCCATCTCCACTTGGAAATGATCCGAGTCTCCTCTCGCAGTCCTCACCCAAGTCTTCGCTCCCTCGTACATGTCCTTAATCACTCCAATGTACGCCACTGGGACACCGCTAGCCTCCATACATCTCCTTAGGACATCTCTCGGGACTTTGAGGCCTTCTCCAGGTCTATGAATACCATATGCAAGTTCTTCTTCCTTTCCCTATACTTCTCCACCAATCTCCTCACAAGGTGAATGGCTTATGTAGTAGACCTTCCCGACATAAATCTGAACTGGTTCTCGCCTTCTCAGAAATAGTAGCACTACGTCTCACCCTCCTCTCCACCACCTCTCTCAAATTTTCATATTATGACTCAGCAACTTGATACCCCTATAGTTGTTGCAGTCCTGAATATCACCTTTGTTATTGTATAACGGGATCATCAAACTCCATTGCCACTCTTCGGGCATCTTCTTCACCCTGAAAATGACATTAAACAACCCAGTAAGCCATTCCAAGCCTGCCCAACCCACTTCTTTCCAAAATTTTATTGGGATCTCGTCACGCCCAGTTGCCTTACCCCCGCTCATATTCCGCATTGCCCCCTCAACCTCTTCGCTCCTAATATGCCTGCAAAACCCAAAATCCCCCCGACTCCCTCAGTTTTTCAACTCACCTAGCACGATGTTCCTGTCCCCTTCTTCGTTCAAGAGTCTATGGAAGTACTCATGCCATCTATGCCTAATACACGCCTCTTCCACCAGAACCTTACCATCTTCATCTTTGATGCACCGCACTTGATCCAGGTCCCAAGCCTTCCTCTCCTTAATCTTGGCCAACCTGTATAGCTTCCTGTCGCCTCCTTTGCCCCCAAGATCCTCATACAATTGCTCAAAAGCTGCAGTCTTAGCTGCCGTGATTGCCAATTTCGCCTCTTTCCTTGCCTTATAACACTCCTACGCGTCCTCTGCTTCTCCTCATTCGTGCTCCCCACTAGCTTCAGATATGCCGCTTTCTTAGCTTCCACTTTTCCTTGGACCTCCTCGTTCCACCACTAGTCCCCTTTGTGGCCTCCCGAATAACCCTTCGATACCCTTAACACCTCTCTAGCAGCTTCCCTAATGCAGTTCGCTGCCGTGGTCCACATATTACTCGCATCCCCACTACTCTTCTAGGCCCCCATGGCCAACAGCTTCTCTCCCAACTCCTGCGCCTTTGCCGTAGTCAAGTCTCCCCACTTAATCTTCGGTTGGCCGTACATCACTCTCTTCTTCCTTACTCTCTTGACCTCCAAGTCCATTACAAGGAGCCTATTCTGCGTTGACAGACACTCACTCGGGGATAACCTTGCAATCAATGCAAAGGCTCCTATAACCCCTCCTAAAGAGAAGGTAATCAATCTGAGTCCTGGCAACCTTACTTCGGAAAGTGACCACGTGCTCCTCCCTCTTCTGGAAACTTGAATTAGCTAACACCAGGTCAAAAGCGTTAGCAAAATCCAACAATGAGGTACCACACTCATTCCTTACTACGAAACCGAGCCGCCATGCTCCTCGTCATAACCCCCTATGACGAGCTTCTCGGAGTGTGAAATACCACGCACAACCTCATCCAAATCATCCCAAAAGCGCCTTTTGACCTCCTCGCCCAGGCCCACGTTAGGCGCGTAAGCGCTAATTACGTTAAAAGTGACCTCACCAACCACTAGCTTAATAGTCATTGGCCTATCATTTACCCTCCTAACAGCTACAACCATTTCCCTGAGATCCCTATCAACTAAAATACCTACCCGTTAATATCCCGAGCCCTCGTACCCTTCCATCTAGTCTCCTAAACACATGCTATATTAATCTCCTCGTGTAAAATCTTCCCTAACTCTATAGACTTACCCGTCAGTGACGCTATGTTCCACGACCCACTCTCAGCCTACTAGATCCCTTACCCCCTTGTCACCCTTGTCCCCCGCCCCTTTTCCCACCCGATAACATGACCCTACTCTACCATCGTTCCGACTATCCACCCCATTAACAAAGAAACTAAGGACTATGACTTAAGAATAAAACTACTGCAAATGCAGACAAGTGGAAAAGCTTCAATATAGACTAAAAATATTTTCTTAATCACACAAGATATACAATGATAAGCTAATGGCAGAGAAAGGTAAACACGCAACAAACGCAGACAACTAATGCAATACTCAAGGGTAAAAGGCAGGCAACAAAGCTATGAACACGAAAGATACAAATACTAAGCAGGAATGATAGAACATGGAATGTCTACGGATGCCAAAATGGTGTAGACGAACAATATCTACAGTCCGAGAATACCTACGCGCAGCCCGCCTCTAGCTGTCCGCGCTTGGGCCCCACGCGCCTCTCAAGGCTTGCCAAATAATTGCCTCTGTGTAGAATCCTCTGCCGCCGCTGCTGCTCCAAAAATTCAACAAGCAGCCCACCGAGAAAGGACAGAAGACGACCAAAAAGAGCTCTGCTGCCTGACGGAGATGCCCGATGATTGAGAAAAAACAAAAAAAAACTGGAGAAAAGAAGACGAGGGTAGAGGAGAAGAGGGGTAGTGGAGGAGGAAGAAAGAGGAGGCAGAAACATGGGGAAGATAAAGAGGCGGGGAGAGANAGACATTAGGTTAGAGTGAGGAGATCCGGTAATCTGAGATGGGGATAGAGGAAATAAGAGGGGAGGAAGGTGAAGAAGAACATGGGAAACGTTAGAGAAGGGGGGAGGGGACTTACCTGATTCCGGTGGAGGTCGCCGGAGTTACGCCGGCGTTAGCTGAGGCGTTAGGTTAGAGAGACATTAGGTTAGAGTGAGGAGATCCGGTAATCTGAGATGGGGATAGAGGAAAGAAGAGGGGAGGAAGGTGAAGAAAAACAGGGGAAACGTTAGAGAAGGGGGGAGGGGACTTACCTGATTCCGGTGGAGGTCGCCAGAGTTACGCCGGCGTTAGCTGAGGCGTTAGGTTAGAGAGACGTTAGGTTAGAGTGAGAATTTTGACTTATTTTCCTTCTTCAATATTATACAAAATAAGAATAAAAATAAAAGCATTAGAAGTTCTCTATATTTTATCCGGGCATAATAATCTATAATAGGACTAATATATACTCCTAGAAAGCATAGGACCTGAAGTAGTGTGCTATCAGGTCTAAAACATATTCCCAACTAATTGTTATCGTATATATAGATCTTTTCTTCTATTGTGCTCTATCTTTCGCTAAGTCCATGGATTCCAAGAGATTGTAGATCTTTCGAGACAACTTCCTTCCATGTGATTTAGATCTACCTCGTTCCGTCTTACACCTTCACTCACACGATCTCACACCTACAGAACAGTGCATCTGGAGGTCGATGTAGGATATAACTAAACCATCTCCAGACCTCTCATTTTATTCCCAATGTGAGCTACTTGCACCTTCTAGCGAATGCGCTCATTTTTCAGCTTGTCTAATCTTGTGAGGTCGTAAATCCATCATAGCATCCGCAGCTGTGTGACACTCATCTTGTGGACGTGTTGGACTTTTACAGCCCAACATTTGCTCCCATATAACATTGAAAAAGGGAGGGTGTGAGTGGGGGTGTAGGGGTGGGTTGGTGAGGATGGAGAATAGGGTGGGAAAGATTGAAAAAGAGTCTTGGAAAATGTTTTCTCTTCTCTTAATAAGGAAAATATTTTCCTTCAATTGAAGGAAAATGAGTTCATGAGGAAAATATTTTCCAAAACACTTATGCCAACCAAACATGAAAAAATTGGAAAACCTTTTCTGAAAATATTTTCCTTCATACCAAGCACACCCTTAATGTACTCTTGAGTACCTCTTTATCGAAAGTGATGTATTTCAAGTGGGAAAAAATATTCTCTTTCTTAACATGTACTCTTCAAGAACAAATGAAAAACTATACAAGTTTGCTTCTACTTCTTAACTATTTTTGGTAGTACACATCTAGAAAGAACAAAGACGCTAAACAATAGCAAACAATACTTACTATATTTAGAAGGAAAAAAAAACTCTCAGTCAACTATAGTGAGAAGAAACATACGAAGGAAAAGGAGTTAGAATACCTTTATAATATTTTTCATTTTAAAAAATGATATCATGTATTTTGAGTGAGCAAAAGTTGGAAGATAACCTACTAGGCTAACTCATATTTTACCCATGAATACCATATTTCTACGGGTTGAATATGGATGGAAGCCTAAATTTTACCCTAACATAAATATCACTCATCCAACCCATTAAAATGCTGGCGGATTGGCCGGGTTGACAAAATATGCACTCATTTTGCCAGCACTAGTTTTATGGAACTTGCCTATCACTGTGGTAGGCATCTTTATGTCATTGAACACTCTAGTGACCTAGTCGCACTTCCATTTCAACCATCGGATTTTGATTTTATGCGTAACATCTTCGTCTATTATTTCATTCTCGTTAAATAACGAGCCTAGATAACTGAGTTGTTTGCATTTAGGTACCACAATCCTCTGTAATCTCGCATCAGCTTCAATCTTATGCTGGCTAAACTTGCTGTGCATATCTTTAAACTTGCTTCTACTTTTAAGTTCTCTACATTGTCTTTTGGCATAAAAGACAAAAACTCCAGCAAACATTGGACCTAAGATAACGTACTACAAACATTGGAATGAGCTTCATTTGGCTGTGAAATAGTAGGATGGATAGCAGCATTTTTATCTCTTTTCAATTTAGATTGTCAGAGGAGGTATTACTGGCAAATTGATTACTTGGGTGATACATAGATATACTTTTTAGTTGTACCTAATTTCGAGGACAGATTCTTTTCCTAGCTCATTCATTAAGTTTTGTTTGCAGGACGAGAATGCTGCAAGAAGTCCCCATCATGTCTGAAATTGGTTGTTTTTCGATGAGCATTTGGGAAACATCCATTCTCCATTTTTTATCTGGAGATTTAGTTTATGCACTTGATCCAGCAGGTTTGTGTATGGTAGTGAGTTCTGTACAGTCACCAAATGGTAGTATTCTTTTCCAGGATAAATACAAATGATAAACCTTGTCTTTTTGTTGTCATGTAAAGATAATCATGTAAGTTCCCATATTTTGGCAATGCAATTTTACACCTTTCAAGTAAAAGCGTTTTGAAGATGTCTCAGTATGAGGTTCATCAACTGAAGATAGGTTTTGAATTCTATTGCTCTGGTAACCGACTTCTATTTCTTCCCTTGCATCTTCCTCACATTCGTATTGGACTTGATTTGATGTGGCTCGATATGTTACTGGCCTCGTTTAGCTTATTATCTATGGAAGCAAAACTGCGTCGTGACTGGAGATGCATTTTTAATGCTTGTGACGTGATGTCGGGGAAGTCTTACAGTAACTGGAGTGTACTTAACAAGAGCTGGTGCAATTTGCATCTTTCATCTATTCTTTGGCAGGTATTGTCATTGCAGCAGATCATGCTTCAGGAATGTCTTGATACTCACTTTGTGCTAGTTGAATACTTTTGCCCTAGCCCTCGTCTTTCACTATATGGAAAAGGATTTAAACTATATATGCTAACTCTTTTTTCTTTTTATACTACTCCCTCCATTCCAATTTATGTGAACCCTGTTTGACGGGCACGGAATTTAAGAAAAAATGAAGAGTTTTAGAATTTGTGATTCTAAACAAGTCAAATTGAGGTTCAGAGTATTTGTGTGGTTATAAATGCTTCTCATTAAGGGTAGACTTGAAACTTTAAGCTAAATTGTTTCCAAATTTAGAAACGGGTCATTCTTTTTGGAACGGAACAAAAAGAAAATAGGTTCACATAAACTGGATCCGGTGGAGTATTAGTTAATGGTAACTTCTGATCGCATATTATTGAATATTGATTAATACATACACAAAAGTGTACTTGTAATTTCCTTATACCTGACATGATTGTGTGGATATTTCTTAGAGAAATTAACTTATATAGCAGCCCCCTCAAAAGAATAACCGGCAAATGTATCTTTATACTATTATAGTGTATAATGCATGTATATTAGCTAGGGGCTGTAAATAATTTTGGTCGAGTACATGTGTTAAAAGCCCTTTTTTATGCCGTCAGTCAGAAACCTTGCTCTATGGGAATGTGAACTTTTTGCCTTTTCATCAATTGAAGGTAACATAAAATCAACTCATTTCAACTATCAACTAGTCTAACTTGTTGAATAAATGCTTCCCTTCTCATTTAGTTCCTCATGAATTAAAAAGATTAAAAAAAAAAATTTGAAGTAAGATAGAATGGTAAATCCTAAGTTAAAAATTATATGCATTTATCAAGTTACAAGTAATCCATTAAACGTGGGATGCTTTGAGATTTCATCAATACATTAGCAATTTTATATTTCTTTTTTTTTTTTAGGTTGGGGTTTGGGGGGGGGGGGGGGAATTTTTTTTTCCTTCTGAAAAGCGTATTTGTTTCCATAAATAAAGCAATTAATTCAGTGTAATCTCTGCTTCTTTCGTTGTATACATTAAGGACCTGTTTGGAAAGCCACCCCATAATTGAATTTGAGTGTAATTGGCTGTAATGACATTGTTTTGACATGTTTGTCTGACCAATTAATTACCTAGTCAGCATGTAATTGGGTGTAATTGAGGGGGTGTAATTACACTCTGTAAATCTCAAGAGGGAGCTGAGAATTGCGGGTAATTACATGGTATATTACCAGGTTATTTTTTGAATCTCTTTTCTTTTTAATTTACTTTTTATTTCTATTGTTTTTCTTTTAATTTATTTTTTAACTTTTTAAATTCTTTTTTTTACTTTATTTTTTTTATTTCCTTATTTCTCATTTCCCAATCTTTATTTCACATGTTTCTACATAATTTCTCATATTTTATTTCTTTCTTAATTATTTTTCTTATTTTTTTTATATTACACAGTTATGTTATTATCCTAAGTTTTCTAAGAAATTATACCCCATACCTTAGAAAGGATAAGTCATCCACAAACTTGACTTATAATATATGATGTCATTAAAGTTGAACTTTGTTATTGGATGAGGTTATATGCAAACTTAACTATGTTAAAATGATAAGATTACTTTTTAATTGTGCTATTATTCTAGTTTTGAAACTCCTCCTCCTAATATTAAAAATAATGAATCGTAGTAAACTTAACATATAATGAGTGATATCATTGAAATAGAATCTCATTTTTGAATGAGGTTATAGGCTTATGTTTTCCTTTTCTTTGAATTATACGTACTTAAATTTTATTGAAACTTAATTTATTTTATGTTGTAATTTTACATAAGAGTATTATGTTATTTATTTCATTGGATTTTGAATTTACGTTATATCTTTGCTTCCATTATATTTGCTTTAGTAGTATTCTCTTATTAATTTAGATTGCATGTCATTTAGTTTCCAGTTAAAATTGATAGATTATTTTTTTGTAAAACATTTGAGTAATATTATGGAATTATATTTATAAATTTAATTATTTTATCAAGCATGCAATCCATATGTTCTTACAAAATATGTACTTTTCGTTTTTATAATTTTTTAAAGTAAAATATTATTAATTTTTTAAAAATATATCAATTATTTTTATAATATTAGTTACAAATATATGATTAGTAATTAATATATTTTCAAGGAATAATATCTATCTTAAATATCAAATTTAATATTATTTATAAAGGCAAATATTTGGTAAGTCTTAGCTTTTAATTTTTGACAATTAACTTTATATTTAAAATTTAATCAAATTGTGTAATTACACTTGTGCTACCAAACAATACACTTATAATTACACTGTAATTATATTATGACAAACAAACAAGTTATCGTAATTAGGATGATATGTAATTACTATTCTAATAATTATACCAATTTCAATTATCTGGTGACTTTCCAAACAGAACTTTACAAAAGCTTCATTATTATTAAACATTGAAGGACAGAGTTATCATATTCATACCCCACGCAACGAATAATAATACACATTATATGAAATAAGACTAGACAAGCTTGAGAAATGCCGATCCATGATTTGGGCCATATGGTACGATCACAATCCTAGAATTTCTACGTAAACGCGTGCATTAATTCCTTTTCAATTTCAAAATTACTGTCCTGTAAAATTCTTATCCATATATATTGTATTTGTCCTGTCGATGCAGCCAGGGGCGAAACTACATATCCTAAAGAGCGGTCAACTGACATCCTTCCTCGAAAAATTAAATTGCGTATATAAATAAAATATTAGGTTTTAAAGGTATAATATATTGAACACTCTTTGTCAGAGAATTTTTATTTACTACCTTCAAGTTTGAACACCCATAAAGAAATTCCTGACTTCGGCACTGGATGCATCTCCAATTTTATTTATTAAAAAAGGTCAAACTTATTTGGTAGACACAGAAATTAACAGTATAAGGAGCGTAGAACAGTACTATCATAAATGCTCTTCTTCTGCCTTTAAAGTGGTAAAACACAGGTGAAATTGCGCGTTACCAAATGCTCATAAGATTTATTTATGGGTGGACCTGAAAATAGTCAATTTTAATTTTATATGCTTCAAAAAACATCTTAAATAGATTCTAAACGCGTAACTGAGTAACATGTTGACATGCTTAATTAATTGATCTCAAGTTGATATTTATTATATTACACCCACTCTTTGAAGAAATAGTAATACTCTATTACGTTTAAAATTGTAAACAACAGTGATATTAGCTCTTAAATATTAAGATGTCACGAAGTTCTATACAATTTAAGATCTAAGAGACAATATAAGTATAAACACCTCTACCTTAATGATAACAGGTGAATTTGACTATAATCACACCTTAAATAATCACCTTCTTGTGTAGTTTTAATGCTAAAAGTGATGACAAAATGCTCTTATTAGTGCTTTTCATGATTTGTAGGTGATATATGTATAAAGACGGCTAAGGAGCAGTTTTGGAGTCAAAAGTGATGAAAAAAAGGCCAACTGTGAAATTTCCTAAGTGACCTGTGCAAAAACAGGCCGAAGATTCAGAGAACTGGATCCACCGCGGTTCCACCGCGACCGCGGCAGAACCGCGGTGGGAAGCAGCTGCAGAACCTCAGTGATTCCGCGAGGGTGTTTGGCCGCGGTTCCACCGCGACTGCGGCAGAACCGCGGCAGGCGCAGTAAACTTCAGGGACCAAAGTGTCAATTACGGGATTTTTAGACCTAAACCCTAGTTAAAACATTAGACTTCGCCCAAGAGAGGCATGTATTGATTTTTTAGGTTTCTTAGCAAGGAAAAAGATTGGGAGAAAATACTCTAAACATCTTTCTTCTTTTCTTTTGATTTTATGATGAATTCAATCTTAGTTTATTTTCCCATAGCCATGAGTAGCTAAATTCCTTGTCTAAGGCTTTGATGGAACCTATTGGGTGATGAACTTCTTGTTTATGTGAATACAAATTGCTAGTTTAATCTTTATTTGTTCAACTTCGTGTTCGTTGTAGTTAATTGACAGGATCCTCAATTAGCTGTGCCTATTTAGTGTGCATAACTTGAAAAAGAGTGCATATTTAGGGTATTGTTGAACAACACCACTCCTAAATTATTAGAGGAATCTATAATTGCGGGTTTAAAGGCGGGATTAGGAATAACGAAGCCTTGGGTGCAATCTAAATTGAATTGTGCTAAATAAAGCAAGCTAGTGTATCTCGGGAGAGTGCAATAGTAGATTACTGTGATTACTCGGGAGAGATTTGCGGCAAGATTAGCGTTCATGATTGATAGAGATGTGTGGGTAAATTTGTATGAGCATAAACAGAAGGGATTCCATCAATAGGGGAAATCATTGCCTTAGCTTTTTCTCATAATTGTTTACAACCCTTATTTTTTTACTTAGTTACAGCCATTTAGTTATTTGCAAGCTAGTTATTAAAGAACACTCAACTGAGATTTGAATATTTGGGAAGCTGGTTCTAAAGACTTAGTGGGTCTGAAGATAGCGGTTGATAGGTTAACTCTCTGTGGATTCGACCCTGGGCGTAATACTCGGGTTATATTTGCAACGTCCGCAGAATCCTTTTTATAAGGCATAATTGGGCGTGATCACTTAACCAAAGGGTCAATGGTATAAGTCATGTTGGGAGACAATTAGGAATTAGTAATTTAGGGAGC